GTGTGCAATGAGATTAAATTTCAATTCCCTAGCAAGTTCAATCATATTGATATTGGGAAAAAGGGAGTGTTTAATTTCAATTTATGCTGATCCGGATGATAAGGGCATTAATGTCCAAATGATGGTTGATGAAGATGAGGATAATAAAGGAAGTATTCGGAATAGTAATGGAGGGCTTCTCATCACTGAAAACATGCTGGAACAAATGAAGAATGGGGAGTTAAAGAACAAGGTGAATATGATCACTCCCATATTGCCTTTGGATGAATCAAAAGCTAATGAACCTGTGTCATATGCTGAGAAAGTTAGTGGGAAGAAGCTCAATGCAGCAAACCTTATTTCTAAGGTTAAGAAGAATGCGGAATTACCTGAAGGAGTGGTGGAAATGCCAATATGTGATATTCTTAAAGGTTGCAGCCCCTTTAAGACCACCCTTTATGGATATTTCATTGACAAACATGTTAATTTCTTTAATGTTAACAAGTTTGCTCACAACACATGGAAAAAACATGGATTAGAAGAAGTGATGGTAAATGATGAAGGAATTTATTTTTTCAGATTTAGCACTGAACAAGGCATGAATTCTGTGTTAGAGGGAGGAGTTTGGATGATTTTTGACAGTGCTCTTGTTGTTAGAAGATGGACCACTGGTGTAAGCTCAGCTAAAGATCAACATGACAAAGTTCCTGTTTGGGTCAAAATATATAATGTTCCTCTTGAATATTGGAATGGAACAGGACTGAGTCACATTGCTTGGGAGATTGGAAAGCCATTGGATGTTGATGCTCATACAGCAAAAATGTGTCAAGAGCATTGGGGAAGACCGGCCTTCATGAGAATTCTAATAGAAATGTCTGCTGCTAAAGATTGGCTTACAGAAGTTCATGTGTATTCTTCGGATCTTACTACAGGTGAAAGAATTCTGTCAAAATGCAAAATTGAATATGCTTGGAATCCTTCCAAATGCTCCCACTGTAAGGTCTATGGGCATAAAGATAATACTTGTGGCATTTTAATAGCTAAGGAGGCCAACGTTACAGTGAATTCTAAACTTGATGATCAAAATAAGGATGGGACTAAAGTTGATTTAATGGAAGTTCTTATTGCGAGCACAAAAAAAGTTGAAGAAGATAAAGATGGGTTCCAAACGGTGGTTAAAAGAAATAAAGGAATAAATACAGGAGAAAAGAACAAGGAAGGAAATGGGATCAAAAATCAGAATTTTTCTCAAGGGCATTTTGGGAAAAATCAAGGCAATGGAAGGAATGCGGCTAGAAATTCTGCTGGAAATCAGGGGCAAAAAGGGAATAGTGGAGAAAAAAACTCTGTTGGAAACCAGGGGCAAAAAGGGAATAATTTCGAAAAAAATGGAAACAATTTTGGCGGTAATCAATGGAATAAGGGTAAAGGAATCCAGGGGCAAAATGGGAAGAATCAATATGCGAGTGGAAGATCCTTCGGTCTTAATTTTGAACAGGGGCAGAATAGTAAAAGTTCTAATGGTTCGAGCAGAAATATTATTGCTAGGACTGGCGCAGGAGGGAATAATGTTCAGGGGATTTCGCATGCTTTCTCCTCTCACAAAGATCCGAATTTGATTCCTGAAAATAGAAAAAACTTAGGCAGTGGGCTGAAGTATGTTCCAAAGTCTAGAGATGATTTTAAGATTAGCTCTAACTTTGATAAAAGTCCAAAAGTTGAGAAATATCAAGATCCTGCGATTATTTTATCTAGCAATAAATTTGAGGTTTTAAAGGGTTTGGAAGATGACAACCAATTGGATTATTCCAGGAAATGTATGCAAGATATTGATCTTGATTACTTGGATAATGTTGATCAAATGGAAGTTATAGGAGGTATCCCTTCGGATGATACCATCATGGAAGGCTTTTCCAATGTCGCTTAATTTTGGAATTTGGAATATTAGGGGTCTTAATCAGGCTCCTAAGCAAAAAGAAATAAAGAATTTTATTAAGGAAAATAATTTGAGTTTATTAGCTATTCTTGAATCTCAAGTTAGCTTGAATAAACTTAATGAGAAGTGTGATAATATCTTTGGGAATTGGAAGTGGACTGCTGTCAAGGGGAATTTAGGGAGTACTTTCCGCATTATTTTGGGATGGAATCCTCTCCTCTTTGATTTTAACTTGATTGATCAATGCGATCAAGTTATTCATTGTAAAGTTTGGTTTCCTTCAAACAACAAATTTGTTTACTGTTCCATTGTTTATGCTGCCAATAAGTACATTGATAGAAGAGCTTTGTGGTCTTCCCTTGTGCATCATAAAGGTCTTGTCAATGAAGATCCATGGATTATTGGGGGTGATTTTAATGTTACCCTCAATCCTAGTGAAAGCTCTGCTGGATCTTCCAAATTCACTAAAGGGATGGTGGAATTTCATGACTGCATTAATACTCTTGAAATTCAAGATATTAATTGTAACAGATTGAATTTTACTTGGAATCAAAAACCGAAAGGATTAAATGGAATTATGAAGAAACTTGATCGTGTCATGGGCAACTGCAAACTTCTGGATCAATTTCCTTCTATCTGTGCTTCATTTCTTCCTTATGGGATTTCTGATCATAGTCCGGTCATCATTAAAATTCCTTCAAGATCTAAATTTAAGGTGCTTCCTTTTAAATTTCCCAATGTTCTTACCCTCTGTCCTGAGCTGAATTTGATTGTTGAAAGGCACTGGAATCTTGATATTCAAGGAGTTAAAATGTTTATTTTAACGCAAAAGCTTAAAAGTCTCAAGAAGCCAATTCGCAAACTCTTAAAGATGCAGGGAAATTTTTCGGAAAATGTTAACCATTTTCGAAAAGAGCTGGAATCGGTTCAAGTGGATTTGGATTCGGATCCTTATAATTCTCATCTTCGTGAGCTGGAAGCTATTTTTCTTGGTGAATTCAAGATAGCTCATGATAAGGAGGAGAAATTTTTAAAACAAAAAGCTAAAATCCAGTGGCTAAAGGAGGGTGACAGCAATTCTAAATTTTTTCATAGAATTGTTAAAGGGAAAATGCACAAAAACATAATTGAGGCTATTATGAATTGTCATGGAGAGTGGCTGGAAGGGGAGGCTATTTATAAAGAATTTGTTGACTACTTCCAGGATTTTCTTGGAAAAGAGGTGACTTGCGATGAGATCTATCTTCCGGATTCCCTTTTTATTAATAAACTGGACCTTGTTGATGTTGTGGATATGGTCAAGATTGTTTCAAATGAAGAAATTAAAACTGCTCTTTTTGACATTGATGATGATAAAGCTCCTGGACCGGATGGGTACTCGGCTAAGTTTTTCAAATCCATGTGGTCTATTATTGGCGAGGATTTCTGTTCGGCTGTCAAGGAATTTTTTGCTAATGGCAAAATGCTCAAGGAAATAAATTCTACTGTCATTGCTTTAGTCCCTAAAGTTAATTCTCCTGGGAAAGTTAGTGACTTTAGACCTATTTCATGTTGTTCTGTCATTTACAAATGCATCAGTAAGCTCATTGTGGGAAGAATAAGAAACCATTTGGGTTCTATTGTTGCGGATAACCAATCTGCTTTTATTCCGGGTAGATCCATCACAGACAATATTCTTCTTTCCCAAGAATTGGTTAGGGGTTATCACAGAGATCGCGGTTATTCTAGATGTGCTCTTAAAGTTGATATCCAGAAAGCGTATGACACGGTGAATTGGTCATTTCTTCAAAATATCCTTTTTCACTTTGGATTCCATCCGACAATGATAAAATGGATCATGCAGTGTGTGAGCTCTCCTTCATACATGATTAGTATGAATGGATCCTTTCATGGATATTTTGATGGAAAAAGAGGTCTTCGTCAGGGCTGCCCTTTATCTCCGTATCTTTTTACCCTGGTGATGGAAAGTTTCAATTTGATTTTTCAAAGAAGAATAAGGAATGAGCCTTTGTTCAAGTTTCATTGGAAGTGCAAGCATCTTAAAATCACACACTTGTGTTTTGCGGATGATCTAATGATCTTCTGTCATGGTAATAAAGCCTCGGTCAGGGTTATTAAAGACAGCCTTGACGAATTTGCTAAAGTTGCAGGCCTTCACCCAAATTTTTCTAAAAGCCATATTTTTTTTGGGAATGTCAAGGCTGATGTTAAAAGGAAAATTCTTGACACTCTTCCCTTTGTTGAAGGGAAACTTCCAATGAGATATTTGGGTATTCCTCTCATTTCTACAAGATTGTTTATTCGAGACTGCAAAAGACTTGTTGATAAAGTCCGATGTAGAATTGGTGATTGGAGAAACAAATATCTCTCTTATGCGGGAAGACTTCAGCTCATATCTTCGGTTTTGTTCTCCCTTCCTGTTTATTGGGCTTCTTGTTTGCTTATTCCGGCTTCTATTACCAAGGAAATTGAGAAACTGATGAAGAATTTTTTGTGGGACTATGATGAATCCAAGAAGGGAAGAGCTAAAATATCATGGTCTTCCATCTGTAAACCTGTTGAGAATGGGGGTTGGGTCTCAGAAATCTTAGAGTTTGGAATAAAGCTATTCTATCTAAAAGAATATGGATGATTTTATCTAACTTTGACTCTTTGTGGGTTAAATGGATAAACATTCATGTTCTTAAGGGTAGAAGTTTTTGGGATGTTAAGGAAAAACAGGACCTCAGTTGGAGCTGGAGGAACTTGATTAGATTGAGAACCAAATTTAGAAATCATTTTTTTACCAAGATCGGGAACGGGGCTAATTCTTTTATGTGGTATGATGATTGGCATCAATTGGGTGCTTTCTCGAATGTTCTTTCGCCAAGAGATATTACTAATGCTGGTTTCAGAATCACTGACAAGGTCAAGGATGTTATTGTGGACAATTCTTGGTTTTGGCCTTCGGAGTGGATCACTCTTATCCCTCAATTGAGAGATCATCAATTACCGATTCTTGATCCTATGGTGGCCGACAGAGTTTTATGGAGGAAAAGGGACGGACAAGTGGTTGAATTTGACATTCGTCAAGTTTGGAGTGACATAAATTTTTGCGGTCAGAAGGTTCCTTGGGCTCATTTAGTTTGGTTCAAACAATGTATCCCTAGGCTTAGCTTCATTTTATGGCTTGCTATCCAGGAGAGATTGATGACTCAGGATAGAATGAGATTTTGGGATAAAAATAAGAATCTCAAATGTGTTTTTTGTAATAAGCAGCCTGACTCGCACAATCATCTCTTCTTTGAATGCTCGTTTTCTTCTCTTGTCTGGAATTTGGTGAAAGACAAAGTGGGATTTACTATTAATTCTCATGGATGGAAAGCCATAATTGAAGAATTTCAAGATTTGTTGAAAGGGAAAAGCATTCAAGTTTTTATCATGAAGATTGCTTTTGCTGCTTCTGTTTATTTCATTTGGAGAGAAAGAAACTGCAGGCTTTTTAGAAATGGAAAATCTGAAGAGAGGAAAATTGCTTTGAACATCTTTGAAGAAATTCGTTTAAAGCTTATTGGTCTTAAAGGTGTCTTTTTGGGATTTGATAATGTTGTTAAAAGGAAGTGGGGTGTTCCAATTGGTGAGAAAAATCATGACTTTTTTGATGATTAAAGGAATTGACGGGTTTGGGTTTAACAATTTTCCTTTAAAAATTGTTTTGCTTATCGGTTTTATCCCGATTTTCTTGAGGAATATTCATTTAGATGTGGATTTCATTTTGCAAATGGGTTTTATCCCCATTATTGGTTGGTTTCCTCCTTGGCAACTTGGAGTCTCCACTTTGGTGGGTGCCACTGCTAGTTCGATTAGCAAGTGGTGGGATAATTACCCGTCAATACCAGGGTTTGGGTACGTTTTCCTTAAACTGTACCACAAATGGGTTGGTTGTTTCCCTTGTAACTATAAAAACAATCACTTTAAGGTCTTATGGCACAAGTGTATGGTTACTGCTATCTGGTTTATCCCGGATTTCATTGGAAATATTTCCTTTGAAGTGGATTATTTCTTATTGCATTTGGGTTTGATCCCTATTAGTTGGTGTTTTTATCCTAGGCAACTAGGATTCTCCACTTATGTGGGTGCCACTGCTAGTTCGATTAGCAAGTGGTGGGATATTCACCCGACAATACACGGGATTGGGTACGTTAACCTTAGACTGTACCACTTACAGGTTGGTTGTTTCCTTTATAACCATAAAAACAACCACATTTGGAGCCTTATGGATCCTTTTTTGCTTAGTGCTGTCTGGTTTATCCCAGATTTCATTGGAATTTTTTCCTTTGAAGTGGTCAATTCTTTAAAGCAAATGGGTTTGATCCCCGTTAGTTGGAATTTTCTTCCTAGGCAACTAGGAATCTCCACTTTAGTGGGTGCCATTGCTAGTTCGATTAGCAAGTGGTAGGATATTTACCCGTCAATACACTGGATTGGGTACGTTAACCTTAGACTGTACCATAATTGGGTTGGTTGTTTCCTTTGTTCTCATAAAAACAACCACTTTGGGACCTTATATTCTTTTTGGTTTTACCAAAATTTTAATGCAAACCGGTCCATCCCGGTTATCATTGGCTTTTTTGCCTTTGATGTGGAATTTGGAGGTTTTATACTTAATTTTTTAAGGATTAACCTTCACGGGTATTTTTGGAATACTCCCACTAAAAAAGGAATTGACGGGTTTCATATTTTTGGATTGATCCCTAAGAAGAAAGTTGGCGATTTGGATTGTTTTAATCTTGAGGATTGTGGTATAATTGTGCTTATGAGCTATCTTTATGCTAGAGGATGGGGTTTTATCCAAGGGCATTTTCGGAATTCTTGGATTAATATATTGGAAGATTTGTTGAAGAGTAATTGGCTTAGTTCGGGCAAGAAAGAAGTTGAAGACAATTTGAAGATGATTTGGAAATGGTGGAATTTGTTGGGAGATATCAGTTTTAGCATCATACTTTCTTGGATTTTGAAGACTCTTTTATTAGCTAAAGAGGAAATGGGAAATTTTGTGAAAGACATAAAAGATTTTTTTTGGGAATTGGCTCAATGAATTTGTGATGGATAATGGGATTATTTATTGGAGCTTATTGGATTTTAAAGTGAAGATTGGAATGAAGTTAAACAATTATATTTTGGAGAAAATTGGGAAGAATTGCATGAAGAATATAGTTCAAAGTTCTAAGTTGATTGCTATTATCGGTTTTAGTTTGGTTTGGAGAAATTTGAAAATTATTGATGATTTGAGTGATTTGGCCAATGATTCTCTTGATTTGGATGTTTCTTGGAAGCATGGGAAGACTAACATTATTCAAACCTTGGACTATTCGTTTGAGTATGAGGCCATTTTTTGGGTTTTGACTTGGTGGAAGATTGGAAGCTATGTGAAGATCGAAGATTTTGAAGCTTTCGTGAGATGGAAGTTTTTAGGATTTGATTTTATTGTTTATTTCCTTGGTAGTTATGCTTGGTTTCACTCCTTGTGTTGGAGTTGGACTTGGAAGTGGATCGGTTGGCTTTGTATAGTTAGGTTTTGATGCTTTTGTGGTTTTTGTTTTTTTGTTTTGTAGCTTTGTTGTTAGGTTTGTAGTTAGGTTTTTTGGGCGGTTGCCCTCCTTCCTTGTATTGTTTTTTCTTTTCAATAAATTCTGCCAAGGGTTTTCCCCTTTTATCCAAAAAAAAAAAACCCTAAACCCTAAACCCTAAACCCCTAAAACCCTAAACCCTAAACCCTAAACCCTAAACCCTAAACCCTAAAACCCTAAAACCAGAAACCCTAAACCCTAAACCCTAAACCCTAAACCCGAAACCCTAAACCCTAAACCCTAAACCTTAAACCCTAAACCCTAAACCCTAAACCCTAACCCCTAACCCCTAAACCCTAAACCCTAAACCCTAAAACCTAAACCCTAACCCCTAAACCCTAAACCCTAAACCCTAACCCTTAAACCCTAAACCCTAAACCCTAAACCCTAACCCTAAACCCTAAAACCCTAAACCCTAAGCCCTAAACCCTAAACCCTAAACCCTAAACCCTAACCCTAAACCCTAAAACCCTAAACCCTAAGCCCTAAACCCTAAACCCAAGTCATTTGCTAAAACTTTTTCTCTCTCTAACTTTCTCTCTCTAGGATTCTCTCTCGTTTGTTCCTGTTTTCGTGAGTGACTTGCTGGGAATTCTGGTTGATCGGAGCTCTTACCGGTGCCGGAATTCCACCATCATTAATTGAATTTACTCTAAATTCATCTTCAATTGTTTATACGATTGGAAGTGGGATGTTCGGGAAAATTGGAAATATGTTCGGCATGAATTACACTGATCCTCCTGATCCGGATAACAAAAAATTATACGAAGAAGAATTGGAAGCTGATGTTGGAGCTAAGCGAAGAGGTAGAAGAGCTGTTCACAAGGAATTTTCGCCTTATTCTGGGAACAAACATATTCGATTGAAAGAGAAAATGGAATCTAAGGCTAATCGAATTCAGGAAGAGAAGAAATATTTGAATTCGAAATCTCCAATTGAAATATCGAAGGTTGTGCTTAGAGCTGGAATACGTGATGTTATTAAAACCGGATATGGCAAGGAAAATATCGATCCGGAGTTCATTAAATCGGAGCTTAATGCTTTTGAGAAGGTGATTGCGGATGGGAAGAAATTGGAATCGCAGAACAAAATCAAACCAATTAGGTATCTAAATTGAGGAATGAAATGGTTGAGGAAAAAGGATTTGTGATGCTGCCAGTAACATCAAACATGCTCGAGGGATTTAATTCTTCAAAGGAAAATACTAGTGCTAATCGATCTTCTTCTCAGTCGCCAGTTGATGAATCGAATTATTCCAAGGGCCTCAATTCTTCGAAGATAATGAAGACTGGATCGTCTTCTTCAGCCCCTGGTTCTGTAATTGAAACAAATGATGGCAAGGGCATTTTGGGAAAATTTCCTTTTTCGCAAGCTGCTCCAGTTAATTCAGGTACTCCTTTGGTCTTTGATGATAATCCTATTGGCCCAATTAGTTGTCCTACTAATTGTAATGATGAAGATATGAAAGATTCAATGAATGAGAATGGGAATTTGGAAGTTGATTCTGGTAATAATATGAAGAAGGAACAGGGAGCTAATTTCTTGAACATGGATTTTTCGAAACCTGTTATTTCCCCTGCAGCTAAGTTGGTTAGTGATTTCAATAAAAAATCTTATGCACGTATGGTTGAATCAACAAATAATGTGGTGGATCTTAATATCAAAGTAATTCCAAAAGTTGATGGGAAGCCTAATGGGAAAGTTGAGTTGCCTTATGCAGATTTAATGTTGGGTGGAGCTCCTTATCATGCAACTTTGTATGGATTTTTTGTGGGGAAAAAACTTGCGTTTCCAACTGTTAATCACTTTTCTTTTAAGATGTGGAAGATATTTGGGCTGAAGGATATAATGGTAAATGATGAAGGATTCTTTTTCTTTAAATTTGATTCAAAGGAAGGCATGATGAGTGTGCTGGAGGGAGGTCCATGGCTGATCAATAATGTGCCTATGTTTGTTCAAAGATGGAGGCCAGGTCTAGTGCTCAGTAAACCTCAAATTAATTCAGTTCCTGTATGGGTTAAAGTGTTTAATGTTCCTTTGGAGTATTGGAACAACAAAGGAATTACTTTGATTGCAAATGAGATTGGGAAACCAATTGCTATGGATAAAATCACTCAAAAAATGTGTAATGAACATTGGGGAAGGCCAGCATTCATGCGATTTCTTGTGGAAATGTCAGCAGAATCAGAATGGATGAAAGAGTTAAGTGTGGTCTCAATAGATTTTGGGACAGGAGAAAAAGTTGAGTCAAAATGCAGGGTAGAGTATGCATGGAGACCTGATGTTTGTAATCACTGTAAAATTTATGGGCATAAAAATAGCAATTGTGGGATTCTTAATGGGTTAAAAATTGATAATGTTGCTGATGTTGCTGTCAACAGAGAAGAAGATGGGAAAAAAGAGAAAGTTGATGATGATGGTTTCATTTTAGTCACAAAGAAAAACAACAAAGGGCAGAAGTTCAATACTGGTGTGGTTATTAATGAAGAAGGAAAAGTGGATTTAATTAAGTCCTTGGAGAAAAACACGAAACCTGTTAGTGAAGGAGTTAAAGTTGGTAGCAATGAAGGAAATTCTATAGAGGTGGGTGAGCAAAGAAAGAATAATAACAAACAAATTGAAGAACAAGAAAAGCAAAAAGGAGCCAAGAAAGAAGATCGAAACAGTAAAGGGGCTGAAAATCGAAATAATGGGGGAAATTATTCGAAATTTGCTGTGGGCAATCTCAAAAAAGATGGGAAGGAGAAAGGGGTATTTCAGTCAAAAGAGGATAAAAGTGGGAAAGTGAATGGTACACGGGTGTTTATTCCAAAAGAAAAAATGGGGATAAGAGTTAAAAATGTTATTGAAAATTTTAATGCTAGAAAAGAAGGAATGCAGGGGAAAAAAGAAGAAAACCAAAAAAAGGTGTATGTTCCTAAAAAGCAAGTGGATTTAAAAGTTAGTTCTAACTTTGACAATACAGGTTCTACTTCAGAAAAAGATAATCAAGATGAGATATTATCGCAAAACCCCTTTGATGTGCTTGCTGATTTGGGATTAAGGGATATGTCTTATTTAGATGAAATTGACCAGGAGATGATTTTAACTGGAGGTGGCCAGGAGACAAACACCGAAAATTTAACTGTTGATCAATGATGATGAATATAGGGTGCTGGAATGTGAGGGGTTCGAATTTAAGGCCTAAACAGGAGGAAATAAAGAATGTAATTAGAAGCAATAATTTGTCTTTGTTTGCTATTCTTGAGTCTCAGCTGAGATTTAATAAGTTGCAAACAACGTGTAATAATGTTTTTGGGAACTGGATGTGGATTTCAAATCAAGATGTGAGCCCTAAAGGCACTCGTATTATTATTGGATGGGATCCGGATGAAGTTGTTGTCATGCCGCTAGATGCTAATAGCCAGGTGATGCATTGTCAAGTCCTTTTCATTAAAGAGAATAAGAGGTTGTTTTGTTCTTTTGTCTATGTCTGCAATTATTATATAGATAGAAGAAAGCTTTGGGATTCGTTGGAAAAGCATTTTTATTTGGTTGATGGTCACCCTTGGTTGATAGCTGGCGATTTTAATGTTACTAGGGAGCTGGTGGATTCGATGGCTGGTAGTTCTAAAATAACGAGGGGTATGGTGGAATTCAATGAATGCATTAATCGTATTGAAGTCCAAGATATTAATCGTAATGGGTTACATTACACGTGGAATCAAAGACCGCGGGGAGCTGCTGGAGCTTTGAAAAAACTTGAACGTGTTTTGGGAAATTTGAAACTTATTGAAGACTTTCCCAATGTGTTTGCTAATTTTCAGCCCTACAGGAATTCAGATCATAGTCCTATGATTATCAAATTCCCAGTTAAAAAGAAGTTCAGGATAAGGCCTTTCAAGTTTGTCAATTCTCTTGTGTTGGTTGATAATTTTCTTCCCATTGTTGAAAATTTTTGGAATTCTGAAATTGAGGGGCATGGGATGTTCAGGTTGTGTCAGAAGTTGAAAATCCTAAAGAAGCCTCTTAGGAATTTGTTAAAGATCCATGGCAATTATGCAGAAAAAGTTTTCAAGTATAGAGAAGAGTTATGTAGGATCCAAAATTGTCTTGACATTGATCCTCATAATGAAGATTTGAGATTTGAAGAAGGAATTTACCTTCAATCTTTTCTGAAAGATAGCTGGGAAGAAGAGTGTTACTTAAAGCAAAGAGCAAAAATTCAATGGCTTAAGGAAGGAGATGCTAATACAGCTTACTTTCATAAAGTTGTAAAAGGAAAAATTAACAGAAATAGAATTGAAACAATTCTTGACGGAAATGGAAATTGGAAGGAAGGGCAGGAGGCTTTTAAAGTGATAGTTGATTATTTTAGCGAATTTCTTGGAGTGGAACATGCTGTGGATCCTATCGTCAATCCGGAAAGGTTGTTTTCCAAAAAACTTGATAACCTGCAAGCTCTTGAGATGATAAAAGAAGTTACAAATGAGGAAATCAAGGCTGCTCTTTTTGATATTGATGATGACAAAGCGCCTGATGTGACATCCCCAAAAATCTCGGCCAGAAAAGACCGATTTCATTTATGCTTTTTAAAATAATTTTCAGAGTAAATCCTTTTAATTTTAAAAGAGATGCGGAATTTGTTCCCAAAAACAAAACATGATAAAATAGATATTTATCAAAACATTTCATAAGACATATGATTTCATTTCATATTCAAAAGTCGGGATGTCATGTTCCGATACAGATCATAAAGCATAAACGATAGCATTACAAGTCATTCAACAAATATATACATATACAGACTTGTAAACAAAACAACTTAATGTTCGCCCATCTTAAGCTCTTGCGCCACTTCCTGTAAAATAAATCAACTGAGTGGGTCATGCTTGGGAGCCTGGTGAGCATATAGGGTTTTCAACCCACAATAATTATATTTAATTTCAACAATCAACAATAAACCCGATTACCCATTCCCGTTATCCTCACCTTACGTTCCTAAAAATAACGTCTATTATAAGGAACCTATTTCAGGATTTTTCATCGGGATGGACATTACTGCAGAGGGGCTTCCTCAACATTAAGTGTCCTAAAGGCAACCATGTGGGGGATAGAGTACACCGGTGAACACGTCGTTCACAACACCTACAGGTAATGAGCCTGCTAGTGTTCCACAGGACAGTCTAGAATAGTCCGTGGTCGTCATCCATACTCTGTTGAATGACTAGAATAACACCAATAACACCGAGGCCTCTCATCTGTTTATTACACACCAATTATCTACCCATGTTCTACCCAACATATTAGTAGATAAAAATATACATTTTTATACATAGTTTAAAAACTTGTATAACATGTTTTAATCAACACATATTCCACATAACAGATGAGACATACACACATAACACGTATTTCATAGAGAATACATCAGATCTATAAAATAGAAGAGAGTGAATATACACTCACACGTATAACAACCAAATATATACACATAACACGTATTTTATAGGAAATACTTCATAATATTGTGTTGGAATGAAAATAACTACACACTCACTTGATCAAAAGATGATCGGGCAGCACTACGGCTTGCAGAAGAGGTGTTTCTCCGTAGATCTGGAAGATCTTCACAAAAACCGGCTCCTCGCGGGCAGGGCTTCGGCTCGGGAATAACGCTCTTCGGGATTCTCGGGGCTTCGGATCTCGCTTCGGGGCTCGGGAATATTATCGGGGCTTCGGGATATGATTGGCACGCAAATCGAGGCAAAGGACCAGAGAGAATGATGAAATTTGCAAAGGAAACTCGGCTGCTTCGGGTCTCCTTTTATAGGTGCTGAACCCTCGCACGTACGCGGGGCGTACGCCTCGGTGGTCGTCAGCGCTTACGTCATCGGTCCATCTCCGTCATTGCATACGACTCGCTACTCCGTAGAACTCGAGTGCCCTACGCTGTACGCGGGGCGTACAGCAGTACGCGCTGCGTACTTCGGATAGACCGCCTCTCCTCTCTTCGGATAATATCGGAGTAAAATAAAAATAAATATTAAATATTTTATTAAACTTCAGAAATTCATATCTCCTTCATACGAACTCTGATTTCGACGTTCTTTATATCCACGCGAAGGTGAGACTACG